TCCCCGCCACATCCGGATCTGGGGCGTCCAGCCTCCAGCACTGGGGAGAATGGATGTGTGCTGTTTAGGCCCCAGTCTCTAGAGCTTTGTTAAGGCAGCTGGGTGGGGGGAGATGCCGGGGTGGCTCAGATGGTTAAGCGTCTGCCTTCGGCTCAGGTCATGATCCCGGGGTCCTGGGATCGAGCCCCGCATCGGGCTCCCTGCTCTGCTAGGAGCCTGCTTCTCTCTCTCCCACGCCCCCTGCTTGTGCTCTCTCTCTCTCAAATAAATAAATCTTTAAAAATAAACAAACAAAGGCTAGCTGGGAAACTAACATGAGGCTCGAGCTCCTTTCAGGTTTCTCGAGACAGATCACTGAACTGAACCCCTCGGGGAGTCGTTTCTGTGATCAGCACAAGGACACATCACCCCGTGTGATGGAAAAATACACCCCCCTGGCTATAACCCGCATCGTCCTCCTTCCATCTGATAACGTGGTGGAAAGTGCAGCGTGTACGAAAATGAATCGTAAACACAGGAAGCATAAATCAAACAATCTTCCAACCCTAAAAATACTCTGGGGTAGGAAAGCACAAAGGTGCAGGAAGGGGTGGTGGCACCGAGGTGAGCTTCTCCCGGGAAACCAGCTGGGGGATCTTCTCAGCCGGCTTTTCTAGTGGAAACAGAAACCCGCAGACGGCCCACGGGCACCGCACAAAGCGTTCACGCCGAGCCCCACAGCCACGGGACGCCTGAGTGCTGGTGCTGTCCCGTTCCACAGCCACTCACGCACAGAGGCTTCTGCCTGCACCACCCAGGGCCCCTGGAGCTGCTGTCCCCGCTCACCCGGGAGGCCGGGGCCCCAGGAGCAGGCTCACGAGGTGGCCTGTGGTGGAGATGTGGCCCACCAGGCTGCAGGCCCGTGGCCCGAGCCAGGGACTCTTGCCTTAGGCATGGGCTGGGACCGTAAGGTGGGGACAGTGGGGGCGTGCTGGGCTCGGGGGCCATGCCCACCGACACGCAGAGTGACCGGCTCTGGAGAGAATGGACAAGTCGCCGGCCCTGCACTGAGGGCCTGGCATTCTCGAGAGGAGCTCACAGGGACGCCTATAGATGAGAGATCGCAGGACAGCCAAAAGGAGGCAGCACGGACACCCCACATCTGCTGGGGGGACCCGGAGGAAGGGGACGTCGGGTTACCTGCAGAACGTGACAGATAGCACAGCCTCTCTGGGGACAAAGGATCAAGGGGGCTGGCAACCCTCGGACCCCGCTCCCTGGGGAGGACACTGGGCCACCACGGAGCACCGCTGTGCTCAGATGGGTGACACCGTGTGGAGCCCGGCTCTGGGGACTCGCGGCGGCGGCCCTGGGCGGAGGACACGCGGGAGGGCGGCTGCACTTGGCAGCGGGGGTCGGGACACACTTGGTGCAGAATCTCTATCACTGATGGCATGTGGGGCAGACAGCAAGCGCACACTCGGCATCTGGGGGAGCTAGGGGGTCCCAGAAACCAGCACAGTGGATGCTGGTGGGCTGGCAGACACAAGGGGGGGACCTGGGGCCCAGGCGCGCACAAGTGAGCCAGGGGCAGCTGGGACCTGCAGGGGAGACGGGGAGCGGGAGGTGTGCTGAGGGGTGAGAGCCAGGGGCCAGCAGCTCAGCCGGCTGCAGGCGAGGGGCCGGCCGGGCTCTGAGGGACGGCCAGGAGCACAGCGGGCTGCAAGCCAGAGACCGGGGGAAGAGAAGCCTCCGGCAAAGACAGGTGCATCTGCCAGGGTAGGGTCTCTGGGTGGTGGCCAGAGGCCAGGGGGACGGGAGGGAGGAGACCCAGAGAGATCTGGAAGGCCGTGCAGGCGGGAGACCCACACCAGCACAGTCTCGTCCCCTCCCCGGCTCTCTCCCCGAAGCCCCCTCCCCGTCTGTTCCATCTGTACTCCAGGCCCCGAGGTGAAGCACAGAGGGGCGAAAGGAACCCCGGACAGGCTCCCACGCTCCTGGGGTTGGCCCGCCCCAACCCGTCCTCCCACCTCCTAACGCTCGTGTCTGGCCCCCGTGAGTCCCCAGAGCAGGGTTCTCGCTGCCATTCATCCCTTGTTCCCTGTGACCGTGGGCCTGACCCCCGATGATACGGTCTGTGGGCCACGCGGCACAGAGCCTCAAGGACCCGTGAGATCCCACGGCCCGTTATCAGCCGCAGAGCCCGCTCCGGACCATCCCGGCTTCCGGCCCAGCCAGGCGTCCTCGCCACGAGGACCCAGGGGCCCCACGCCTCCTTCTGCACCTCACACACCTCGTGAGCGCAAGCTGGGAACGAAATTCGAGAAGGGCCATCGGATCACCCTTTCGGACTTCCTGCCATAGCAAAGGAGGCCCGGGAAGAGCCAGATGCCACACAGAGTCCCCTCCCTGCCGTTCGACCAAATCCAATTCTAGGTAGACCTGAGAACCACGTGGGCCACATACACGCAGTGACAGGCACCTTTCCTGCAGCTCGGGGCCCAGAGGCATCCTCTGCGTCTGAACACAGCGTGGGCAACAGCATCCCAAACGCACAGGACAGCTTCCGGCTGGAGGGGCCGCGTGTCCGCAAGCTCGCTGCGTGCCCAGGGCTGGCTCCCAGCACGTGGGCGCCAAGTCCAAGGGCCTCCCGCCGCGCCCCCCCCGCCTCCCCTCCGGGACTTGCCGCCACCCAGCTCCTGAGGGCCACACCGGGCCCCCTCCAAATGCCCCCACACCACCTGCTCAGACCACAGAGCAGCTGACCTGCTCCAGACGTCTCCTCAGACCTCGAGGGGTGGGGCAGACATACAGGAAGGCGCTCAGGCTGGGGCCTGCAGGGGAGCGGGGCTTCCAGGGGGAAGGCCAAGCCCCCACCCACACTCACCAGTGGCCTCACCCCACACCAGCTCACCTAATCCCCCTCACCCCGTGGAGGTCCTCACGTAGCAGAAGGGAGGCCTCAAGCTCACGGAGGCAGAGTGACCTCTGAAGCCACCGGGACCCTGCAGGCTGCAGACCTGGTGGGCACCTGGATGCGGGGCTCAGGGCCAGTCCCCGGGGAGCACGGCCACTCCCCACGTGCTACCGCTCACGCACACCTTCAGGCCGCCCGGCTTTCCACCAAGGCCAAGTTCTGGCCCCTCCACCCGCCCCGCTCCTCAGGCTCGCGCTCCTACAGGGCGACCTCCAGGGTAAGCAGTGTGGTCCCAGGACCCTGAGAAGAGCCTCAGGAACACCAGCTTTCCCACAAGAGAATCACAGGCATCCCAGCCTTCACAGTCTGGCTTCGACCTCCCAGGACAATGAATCGCCGCCAGGACGTCTGAGCGCCCCCAGCAAGCCTCTGGCGCCTCGAGGCCTGGGGACCGTCGTGCTCCCAGCCCGGTGCCTGCACCCCCTCGCAAGTCCCTTCCGCCTAAAGCCGCCCGCCTGCCCGCCTCACCCAGCATGGCCCATCCTGGGATCCGTCTCCCACAGCAGGCCCGCCGTCCCCCCCAGGCTCCTCCGGGACAAAGATGTCACCCTGTCCCTCCCTTCCTTCCTGTGCTAGGGCCCCACACAGAGACCTAGAAAGCTCAAAACATTCAAAACAGGACAGTTGCGTAAGTAAATTCCCGGTACGGAAGGAAGGAGGGAGGGGATGGGGATGGGGATGGGGAAGGGAGGGGAGGAGGAAGGAGGGTGGAAGGAGGAAGGAGGAGGGGGCCCCAGGCCACTGGACTGGCCACCCCACTGCCTCACGAAGACCCTGCAGCCACCAGCCCACAATCGGGGGGTGGGGGAGGCTCCCCCGCGCTTGAGAGTCACCTTCCACATCTCGGGGCTTTGGCCACCTCCCTGGGGTCCTCGCAACAGGGAGCACCCATCCTAGAGACGCCGCCTCCAGAAGCGGGTGCACGTCCTATCAGCATCCCCGCTAGCCTCTCGTGGCCTCTCTGGGTCCCTTGGCCTCCTTGAAAGCTGGAACACTAGACCCAGTGCACGGAGCTGTCCAGCATACAGCCAGTGCCCAGTAACAGCTCAGCCCGTTGGCCAATCACCGGGTCCTGGGAGATGCGCCCAGGGGCCACCTGGGCAGAATGCAGAGACACACCCTCCCCCCTCTCTCTCGGTCTTCTGACCAAAGGAGGAGGCTGGGAGCTGCTCTGCAGAACATCCTAGAAGAGAAAGCTTTCTCCTTGGGGACAGTGCAACACAGTGAGCAAATGGGCTGAAGAAATGCATCCGCCACCCTACATACACCTCAGCTCTGCCCCCCGTGGCCTGAGGACACCAGCCCCTTCATCTCGAGGTCCTCAGGGACGAGGGACATGCTGTTTGTCTCACGGGGACAGTGGGCTCCCCCACTGTGGGCTGAACACAGACAGAGGTGGGACGTCTACACCCAGACACCAACTTTCACGACCCCACTGACCCGCCTTTTGTGAGAACTCGGGATGGGCCGACCCCTGAGAAAGGATGTGAAATCCAAATGTTTACGGGACATTAATAAGAATCTTCATCTACATCTTGTCACAGGTCCCCCCAGGCCCTGGAAACACTACAGGGAATTACTCCTACGCATGTCGGAAGGTACAGGGGCCTCAAGGCTTCCCGTGTGCCAATTCCTCTAAATCATGTTAGATGTACAATTTTTTTCTATATTCAAGACGGAAAAAAGGGAAAAACGTATTAGCTCATCTCATCCAAGAAGCAGAACCCCCTGGAACTGAAATTATCTGGAGAAATCACCGTGGAGGCCATTCACCAAGCCATGACACACCAGCTGGATTTCACACAGGGGCCACTAAGGACTCGCGAGATCGCACGTATGGTTGGGGAACGGGGACCCTCGAAAGCGCAGGGGCCGAGCTAGGACTCGCATTTCGGAGAGCACACAGCGAGTGGCCCTCTCGATTCCTTCTGCCCCTTCTAGTAAAACGGCTTTCTCAGAAAATAAGCCAAATGCCCTACGATCAAGGCCACCTGCCACGCTTCCCACAGGCTTCACCAAGGAGGAGGGACAGGTGCACACTCACCATGATGTCCCCTTTCAGCAGCTGGGCAGGCTCGATGGCGATGTAGATCCTGCTCTGGGTTTCCGGGCCAACGTTGCTTCGGGACACACAAGAAGGTAGAGCGTGATGCAATTTCATGATTTAATGGAAAGAATCCCTTTTGAGAAAAGCGACCGCACAGCTCAAACTCGGAGAGGACACAAAATATCCCGCGTGGCTCAGGAATGCACTTCCCGGGGGTCTGTCCAGCATGCGGAGCGTGCACGTCTGTAAATAGCTGACCACATCACTGCGAAGGTGCCACCCACGTGCAGGTCCGCCGTGAGTCCAGACACATGACAACAGCTTGTTCCGACCCTACCACTCACTCACGTTCTATTAATGTCCACAAAACACTGATGCAAGCAGACAAGAAAGCAAACCAGGAAAGCCCAGAGACTTGTACAAATTCTGAGGGCACGTGTCTGCCCGTTGCCGAAAATGCGCAGGGGACAGAAAGGCACACCGTCAGGGGACTCTGGTGTGCAGGCCTCCCCTCCCTCCAGGCTCCGCGTCCACACCCCTTCCTGGAGCCAACCGTGCACCTGCCGCCCACCGGGCACCCCCCCGCCCGATGCCCCCACCCCTTCCCGTGGGACAGGCGGCTCTGAGAGGTGCATTTCCAGGGAGCACAGCACTTACTAGATCCCAGACGTGTACACGGGCTGCATGGCTTGGTAGAGCTTCAGAAAGGGCCGGCACACTGAAAGACAGAGTTGTCTGTGAGACGCAGGACCGGACGGACGGATGGCAGTTTGACAAACAGCAAGAGAGAGGCGTCCTGGGGCAAGGTGACCCCATGCTGCGTCCACGCTTTGGGGAAGCAGCAATGGCGTTGGACCGCAGAGTAACGGATGGTGGGGCTCCTGGGGAAAGGTCCTGCTGCCCCTCCCTGGGCCCCCGCACACGGCAACCAGGATGCTTGGACGGGGAAGGGAGGGAAGGCAGGCCCCTAAAGCGCAGGGTCCGGACGGGCCAGCAGGTCTGGAGACACTGCTGTGCGTGGACACTCACCTCCGCCCGCGTCGAAGTTGGGAGTGCCGTGCAGGATGACAAAATGCAGGAACAGTGGCGAGGCGTTCATCTTCACCGACCCCGAGAGGAGCCCGCTGAGAAACTGCACGTACCTGCAACAGACAGCGGCTCAGGGCTCCCACAGGTGCCCCCACGGCTCTGAGCCCACGTGAGCCTGCCTGCGCACGGAAGCCAGAGTCTGCTACCCCGGGGTACTGCGAGGGGACCCAGCCCCACTGCCCACAGCCAAGGGGGTCTCGACCTCCACGTCTGACCCTGGAGAGCACAGCCCGGGCACACGACCCTGCCGGGATCACTGGATACCTCCTACGGAACGTGGCCGAGCGCCCAGTGCAGAACCATGGGTCCTATGCTAGCTCTGCTCCCACACCGCAGGCAGCCCCTCTGCCCCCAACCCAGAGCCACGCAGGGTCAGGCCACGGGGCTGTCACGGTCCCCCCCAGAGCCATGCGGGGTCAGGCCACGGGGCTGTCACAGTCCTCCCCCCCCAGAGCCACACAGGGTCAGGCCACAGGGCTGTCATGGTCCCCCCACCAGAGCCACACAGGGTCAGGCCATGGCTGTCACGGTCCCCCCAGAGCCACGTGGGGTCAGGCCACGGGGCTGTCACGGTCCCCCCCCCAGAGCCATGTGGGGTCAGGCCACGGGGCTGTCACAGTCCCCCCCAGAGCCACATGGGGTCAGGCCACGGGGCTGTCACAGTCCCCCCCAGAGCCACATGGGGTCAGGCCACGGGGCTGTCACGGTCCCCCCCAGAGCCACATGGGGTCAGGCCACGGGGCTGTCACGGTCCCCCCCCAGAGCCACATGGGGTCAGGCCATGGGGCTGTCACGGTCCCCCCCCAGAGCCACACGGGGTCAGGCCACAGGGCTGTCATGGTCCCCCCACCAGAGCCACACGGGGTCAGGCCACAGCTATCATGGTCCCCCCAGAGCCACGCAGGGTCAGGCCATGGGGCTGTCACGGTCCCCCCCCAGAGCCACACGGGGTCAGGCCACAGGGCTGTCATGGTCCCCCCACCAGAGCCACACGGGGTCAGGCCACAGCTATTATGGTCCCCCCAGAGCCACGCAGGGTCAGGCCATGGGGCTGTCACAGTCCCCCCACCAGAGCCACATGGGGTCAGGCCACGGCTGTCATGGTCCCCCCAGAGCCACACAGGGTCAGGCCATGGCTGTCATGGTCCCCCCAGAGCCACGTGGGGTCAGGCCATGGTGCTGTCATGGTCCCCCCCCCCCAGAGCCACATGGGGTTAGGCCATGGGGCTGTCACGGTCCCCCCCAGAGCCACATGGGGTCAGGCCACGGGGCTGTCACGGTCCCCCCCAGAGCCACACGGGGTCAGGCCACGGCTGTCATGGTCCCCCCAGAGCCACGCAGGGTCAGGCCATGGGGCTGTCACAGTCCCCCTCTCCCGTAAGGACCTCACCCCGCTAAAGGCAGCAGGGTCACTCTGCCCTCACCTCCCATCCCATGGGGAGACCCCGGCGGGCTCTCTGCCGCTCATGGCCAGGGGCCTATCGCCAAGCAGACATGGGTTTTGTGATGTGGTAAAGGTCACCCTGAGGCTTATAATCAGCATGCCTGTGACCAGAAAGTTCATTAAAGAAAAGCTAACCCATCCCCCTCCCGACCGCACCACTCCTAAGAGACAGACACATGACAAAGGTCATCCGTGTATTTATTTCTATAAAGCATGTGGACAGAGAGGAGACTGCACCCTTGTCACCTCCCTCCAGCCGTGACGGTCACGTCCACGGCTAAAGCTTTACGTCGATGAGCCCAAGCTCAGCACAGGGCCCATGGCTCTGCGTGCCCAGCCACGGGCCTGCTCCCCCCCAAGCCCGGGACGCTGACCCAGAGGAAGCACGTCGCGCCCCTCTAACAGTCTCTGGGGCCCACAGGCAGCTAGCTGACGATCAGCAAGCCCCAAACACAGAGCCGGGCAGCCAGCAGCCGCCCCCTACCACGTGCCCGCATGCTGCTCGGTCTGCGCACACCGCCAGCCCCCGGGTGCATCGCAGCGTGCTAGGGACACTGGATCCACAACCCACGTATCTCCCCTCTCTACGCCCCGATTTTACTCCAGTGTCCATGTCAGGGAGGGGTGAGAAGACGTTTCACAGAGAAACACACGCTGAACGTTTATGAATTGTCCTCTGGGGCAGCCTCGTCCTATTGTCCACAAAAGCAGCACGCACGCAGATGCCCTCTCAGAACACGCACGTCCTCCGCAAGCCGACGCGGCAGCTGTGACCGGAGCCCGCGGCCTGGCTAGCGGAGGCCGGACACGGAGGGCCAGGAACCAGGCCACATGTGTTCATGGCCACCAGGAAGCGCCTGCTGCACCCAAGAAAAGCAAAGCAATTCCCGGGTGAAGACAGGAGGAACAAAAGAAAAGGAAAGGCTCGCGCCTCCAGTTCATCCAGCCCACTGGGAACACGGGGTTCACCTGCGGCGAAGGGGGTGGGAACCTGAGCGTTCCCCTAGCACACAGCGTAGGCACCCTGTTCCAAACAGCTCCTCGGCCTCCCACCCTCTCCTCTTTCTTTGGAGGAAAGGAACTCCCTGTGATGAGTTTTCCACGCCTCATCTCAACTAGCAAGAAGGTGCAGGAACCGTGCGTGTCCAGGCGGGGGACTAACTGCACAGCACGTGCGTCACTCCGTGCCAGCAACGCGTTCCTTACCACCAGTGACGAGAGCCGAAATTTATCGTGGGAATTTCCGAATCTCCCTAAACACGTGATCCGCACCTGACACCGCTCAGCTCTCCCTGAACACGTGTGCACATGCGCGTATCAAAGCTAGCATGACCACGTCACGTGGCTCAGGAGCCACTGTAAGGGCATATCTTTTCCTGAGCCTTCCTGTCTTCACCTCCACGGGGCTCACGGGGCGCAGAGATGGCGGGGAGACGCGGGCTGGGACCCAAGCTTGCTGGTTACCTAGTATTGTTCCCCAGCGCTCCCATCCCTGGCTGTGGCAGGAGGCCCAGCGGGAGGGCCACCCTGGCTCCAAGCTCGAGAAACCCATGGGCCGCAGTGGGCATGCGCCCCGAGGAGAGAGGACAGGTGCCTGCTCCCTTGTATCTGCCCTGTCTCCCGTGCACGTGCTCTTTCAGACACACAAGGCATCATGTCAAAAGCCAAATAAAGCTTTACTGGGAAATGTCCGGCTATCAGACACACCCAGGAATCCTAGTCTCTGCAGGCCCACACCTTTTACCAGGCAGGGTCGGACACGAGAATGACCCCATCGCGGGCCTCCTCGGGATCCCCTCTGCCCCGCAGCCCTGGGAAGGTCAGCTCGTAAGCCCAGTATTAAATACGTGAAGGCTTGGAGGAGGCTTGCTGTTGAGGCCCCAAGCGTCCCAGGCCACAAACCCCCAGCAAGCTAATTTATTCACTCTTGCCACGAGATCCATTTGAAATGGGTTTCTCGAGCTCAGTCCCTCGGGGTAGCAGGGGCCACAGGGAGGGTTCCCATCACAGCATTTATCCCACAGATGTGGCCATCCTGGGCTCCTCTGGACTCAAAGCGCCTCCAGATGTATCGTATGCACTGACTCAGTCATCTACCTACTCGATAATGGTTTGTGAGCATCTCCCATTGCAGGAGCTGGGTGGATAGCATTCCTCTCATCTGCGGGTGCAGGAAGATTTGCCAAGGAAGGCAGAATAGAACCCATGCCACCATTCCACATTGTAAATGCTATAGCCTCTGGTGCACGCAGACAGGAAGGGCACGTGAAAGCCATGGGCTTGCTACGGTGAGAAAATGCTCTTCCGTGTTCTACACTCTTGCACCGCAATTACAAAGCTCTAGTAAGTCGTAACAGCAAAAAGAAGAAAATAAGGCAAACATTCTTCCCTGGTGGGTGCTGAGCATTTTGAGTGGATGGAAAGAATAAAAATCACATGACGGTCTCAATAGACACAGAAAAAACAAAATACAACATCCATTTAGGATAAAAAGTCACAAAGTGGGTATAGAAGGAACACCCCTCCACATAATAAAGGCTGTGCATGACAAACCCACAGCTAACACCATACTCAATAGTGAAAAACTGAAAACTTTTCCTCTAAGATCAGGAACAAGACAAGGATGCCCGCTCTTACTACTTTTAATCAACGTACAGCCACAGCAATCAGACAAGAAAAAGAAATGAAAGTCATCCAAATCAGAAAGAAAGATTTCAAACTGTTACGGTTTGCAAATGACATGATATTATACACGGAAAACCCTAAAGACTCCCCTCAAAAATTGTTGGAATAAATGAAATTAGTAAAGTCACAGGATACAAAATTAGTATACGTGAATCTGTTGCATTTCTATATAATAATGCACTACCCCCCCCCAAAAATGAAGAAACAACCCATTTACAATAGCATCAAGAAGAGTGAAATATCTAAGACTAAATTCAACCAAGGAGGTGAAAGACCTGTGAACTGAAAACTATAAGACACTATGGAAAAAACTGAAAGAGACACAAACGGGAAAATGCTCCATCCTCATGGATGGGAAGAATTAATACTGTTGGGTGCCTGGGTGGCTCAGTTGGTTAAGCGACTGCCTTCGGCTCAGGTCATGATCCTGGAGTCCCAGGATCTTCTCCCTCTGACCTTCCCCCCTCTCATGTGCTCTCTCTCATTCTCTCTCTCTCAAATAAATAAATAAAATCTTTAAAAAAAAAAGAATTAATACTGTTAACATCGATCTATAGATTCAATGCAATGCATATCAATATTCCAACGGCATTTTTCACAAAAATAAAAAAATGAAATTTGTATGGAACTGGGGAGCCTGGGTAGCTCAGTGGGTTAAGGGTCCTACTCTTGATTTCAGCTCAGGTCATGATCTTAGGGTCATGGGATAGAGCCCCGCGTCGGGCTCCACACTCCGCAGGGAATCTGATTGAGATTCTCTCCCTCCCTCTCCCTCTGCCCCTCCTAAAATAAGTAAGTAAAGTCTTTAAAAGAAATGGGCAAAAGAACTCTGGAAAACAGTATGGAGGTTCCTCAAAAAGTTGAAGATAGAGCTGCCATACGATCCAGCAATTGCACTACTGGGTATTTACCCCAAAGATACAAATGTAGGGATCCAAAAGGGTACGTGCACCCCGATGTCTATAGCAGCAATGTCCACAATAGCCAAACTGTGGAAAGAGCCAAGATGTCCATCAACAGATGAATGGATAAAGAAGATGTGGTGTATATACACAATGGAATATTATGCAGCCATCAAAAGGAATGAGATCTTGCCGTTTAAAACGACGTGGATGGAACTGGAGGGTATTATGCTGAGCAAAATAAGTCAAACAGAGAAAGACATGTATCATATGACCTCACTCATATGAGGAATTCTTAATCTCAGGAAATAAACCGAGGGTTGCTGGAGGGGGGTGGGGTGGAAGGGATGGGGTGGCTGGGTGAGAGACACTGGGGAGGGTATGGACTGTGGTGAGCACTGTGAATTGTGCAAGACTGTTGAATCACAGATCTGTACCTCTGAAACAAATAATACAATATATGTTAAAAAAAAAAAAAAAGAAGAAGAAGAAGATAGCAGGAGGGGAAGAATGAAGGGGGGGAAATCGGAGGGGGAGACGAACCATGAGAGACGATGGACTCCGAAAAACAAACTGAGGGTTCTAGAGGGGAGGGGGGTGGGAGGACGGGTTAGCCTGGTGGTGGGTATTGAGGAGGGCACATTCTGCATGGAGCACCGGGTGTTATGCACAAACAATGAATCATGGAACACTACATCTAAAACTAATGATGTAATGTATGGTGATTAACATAACAATTAAAAAATTAAAAAAAAAAGAAATGGGCAAAAGATCTGAATAGACATTTTTCAAAAAAAGACATCCAGACGGCCAACAGACACATGAAAAGATGCTCAGCATCACTCATCATCAGGGAAATGTAAATCAAAACCACAATGAAGTATCACCTCACACCTGTCAGAATGGCTAAAATCAACACGGAAAACAAGAGGTGTCGGCAAGGATGCGGAGAAAGGGGACCCCTCGTGCACCGTTGGTGGGAATGCCAACTGATGCAGCCGCTGCGGACAACAGTATGGAGGGTCCTCAACAAGCTAAACATAGAAATACCATGTGGTCCAGTAATCCCACTACTGGGTTATTTACCTGATGAAACAAAAACACAATCTGTACCCCGTGTTCACTACAGCAATACTGACTGTAGCCCAGATATGGAGGCAACCCAAGCGTCCACCCGTCGATGGATGGATGGATGAATGGATGGAGGTGTGGTGTTATATATATCACAGAATATGAATCAGCTATAAAGAGAGGATGAAATCCTGCCATCTGCAACAACGTGGATGGACCTCGAAGGTACTACGCATAGCAAAATAAATCAGACAGAAAAAGACACTTATATGTGGAATCTAAAAAACAGAACGAATGAACAAACAAAATAAGCTCAAGAGCTCACAGATGCAGAGAATAGAGTGGTGGTTGCCAGAGGCAGGGGTTGCTGGATGGGCAAAGGGAGAGAAGGAAGACGGGCGGGGCGGGAGCGGGGAGGAGGACAGGGGGTAGGGGGAGGGGAGGAGGGGTGAAGGGAAGGAGGGAGAGGAGATGGGTCTGACCACAAACAGGCCCAGACACTGGGAACTCCCAGGATAAAAGGAGGAGATGCCCCTTGCAGCCTGGAAATCCCTTTCCCAGATGGAAATATCGAGGCCCGGCTCCTGATCAAAACACACCCGTGACCGGCCTCCTGGATGCAGAACCCTCCATCTCCCCTCCATCTCAGCCACGCCCGCGGGCACCCGGGGGAGCTGATGGAAGGGTCAGGCGCACAAGATGGGAAAGCATCCTGGCAACCGTCTTGACGATTCTTGGCCAATTCCTCGCTGTTCGCTTTAAAATGAAAGTGGGGTGACTACGTGCTTGGCTCCATGTCACCTTGTGCAAAGACCTGGGTCTGGGAGGAGGGCGGCTAGGGCCTTCCTCAGCCGGGCCTGGAGGGTGCGTGGGCTCACCCGGGGGCGCACGGCAGGAGGAAGTCTGCTCCCCAGGGCCCTTCGCAGCACTGACTGAGCATCTCCCAGGGGGCCGAGCCGAGCTCCAAGAGGGGGTGGTGGGTGGGCCAGGGAGGCCAATGTGAGGAAAGGGCCCCGGACCTCAGGGGCTGACAGCCTAGGGCAGGAGTCGGCCAAACACAAACCTGCCCATGAGGCCACATTCACTCTCGTGTTAGGTCCGCCGCCGCCGTGACAGGAGACCACGTGGCCTGTGAGGCCCAGACCAGCCACTCGCCAGCCCATTACAGACACGGTTTGCTGACCCCCGGTCCAGCAGACGGAACCCAGTTCCAACATCATGGCATGAATCCATACCGGCCCTGAGCGTGGAGGACCCAATGTGGAGTGTGGAGCACGTGGGGGACTCCTGGGTCCACCTCTCAGAGCCAGCCAGGGCCAGGGGCTCCCATGCCACCCACGTGCACGGGGGCTCTTCTTCACTGCTGGGCACCCACCAGCCCTCCCCACCTCCGCTTGGCGGGTCAGGGGAGATGGCCCTCTTGTCCCCACTTTCTGAAACGTAAAATCTCACTGTCCCGTTTGCTCTGGCTCGGGGACACATACATACCGTTTCTGGGAAGGCTGCATTAAAGCTGAAACCTTATCATCATAGAACTTCTTCATCGCAAACCTGTCGAGGGCCTGGTCGGCACTGAGAAAGGAGAGAGAGAGAGAGACGCAGCATTCAGCGTGGACGCCGCGGGTGGTGGGCTGACGGGGACAGGTGCTGTGGCCCGCAGGCCTGGAACGCCAGCCAACACAGCGGCACCCTCTCTCCTCCCCACAGGCGGGCACGGGGCTGGCATCCTGAACTGTCCCATTGCCACACCGGCCCCATGACAGCAGGGAAGCAGCAGAGGGCTCTGCGTGAGTGTCGGGATCCCGAGGGTGTGGGGCACACCCGGAGACCACGGTTAGTGACAGCCAGCAAGCCCCCGGGGGCCAGCTCGGGACCCGCAGGGAGTCACGACTCTCAGCAGGCCTGAGGGGGCCAGACGGCGGCGGCTGATGAGGGTGGCGAGCTTCCAAGCCCTCATGGCTGCACATCATGGTCCTCAAGTTTCAGCCACAGGCAACCCTGCTCCCCAACGACCCAAAGCCCACAAGCAGAGGGCACTCAGCAGGATCCTCAGGAGACCCAGTAGCCGAGCATTCACGGGTCTGCCTGATCTGACTTCAGATACGTCGTGGGACATGGGTGTAAGAGGTCACAGCAACTGAGTCTTGTCTGAGCCCAAAGCTTCCCTGAAAATCTGATGGCAGTTGGGCCCTCCCCTTGCAGCATGCATGCATGCACCCCTGCAGAACACGGGGATTCACCACGTGCGTATGTCCTGGGCTGCACTGACGGGGCTGTCCCAGAAAGAAGGTCCCCTTCAGCACTGAGCATTCACTGTATCGAGGGCGTTATGTTTCTAAGCTGAAACGTGCCCACCCTCACTTGTACGCATTCCTCTTCCCGGAGCTTACAGGTCTTACCAAATGCTGACAATGCATTTCTGGCCCGTGTGTGTGTGTGTGCGTGTGTGCATGTGTTCAGAACATCACTGTCAGCATTAGGAGTGTTCCCGCTGACGGTCTCCCTGAACGCTCGTCTCCAGGGTGCCGACCCAAGAGCCTTCCTGCTACTTGCTGATTTCTAGTTTCTGATGCAATCCCGAGCACGTTAATGCCAGAGGTTTTAGAAATGCGTGCTCCCCGTGACGGCTTCTGGGAATGTCATCTAAGCGGGGAAGCGGAGAAATGATCGAGGACACATGTATGTGTGAGAGGCTGGCCATCACGGCAGGCTCCGAGCAGGGAATCACGAGAAGCTACCTCGACGGGGACAATCCACCCATGCCTAACGACCTAACACCAGCTCCACACACGGGGCCGGGCCGCCACCTCTCCGAGGCCGGGGCGCACGTTCGGGAAAGAGTGGTGATTGAGAAAAACAGGGTGGAGCCACGCTGCTGGGGCGGAAATGTGAGGGCGACGCCGAGCAGCGTCCGCACGTCTGGGCTCAGCTGGGGGACTCGGTGTGAGCAGCAACCTCGGGCTCTGGCGCACACACAAACCCTTATTATCACCGAGAAGGGATCTGGGTTTCACGGGCGCTTGGGTTTCCTCCCTGGCGGGGACCAGCTCCACAGTTTGTGTCCAGAGAAAACATTTGGAAAGTCAGATTTCGCTCCTTGCTGCTGGGAAGGGCAGGATTTATCGGCTAATGTGAACAGAGCCTGTATGTCCTGAGAGTGGAGCGGCCCTTGCCTCACAATGCAGCCATTGAAACGACAGGGTAAATGCAAACCCACAAAGAACGATATTTCTGGACTGGATTTCAGTGGGAGTGAGATGTGTGCTTGGGGCGCCGTGCGTCTGGGGGCACCGTGTGTCCGGGGGCACCGTGTGTCCGGTGGCACCGTGTGCCTGGAGGCACCAGGGATTTCGGGGCACCGTGCCGAGCCCCCCCAGTGCCAGCAGGTTCCCACCAGCCTTGCTGTGCCCGCCGTCCCAGCCTCCTGTGGGCAGGTCCCCTGGTGGCTCTTCCACCTCCTGGGGACCAGACGAGACCGGGCTTCCCGCTCACAGGCCGGGAGACCATGAGCACGCCTGAGCCTCGGTCTTGTCACCTGTAAAGTACGAGTGGAGACAACTGCCGCCTGGGTTACCCTGGAGGACTGAGGGAGAAAAGACAAATCTGCAGAGCACTTCCCGAGACCCAGGGCACGCAAAGCACGGCAGCCGTGGCCACTCGGCTTTACAGGGTAGAAGGCGCTCAGTGAGACCGCGCGGGTCTTGCTTCCAGTACTGGTCCCGTCCACCCCTACGGTTTCTGTTAGAGACGGACAGTGCACACGCTTTACTTCCGCCGCCACCACCGAAACGTCAGCATGAGGCAGACAGAGCTGCACATCCTCGGCTGGGGCTGGTTCCCGGCCGAGCCTCCCCCTCCGAGATCTGCCGGCACCCCGGCAGCGCGGACGCCCCACGTACCTGGCCGAGACATTGGTGAAGTGCATGTAGGATGATATGACCACGCCAATGCGTCCCTTTCCGCCCTGCAGGAGACAAAAGAGGGACTCGGTTTCTCTCGACTCCCGTGGCAGAGGTGGAAGGCTCATTCGCTCGGGATGACAAAGAGCTTGCGCTGCTGGGGAGCCACCCTCAGCTTCCTCTGGTCCTGGCTCCGGGGGACGGCCTTACCCAGCCCAGCAGGCAGCGGACACGCCGGGAGCCCACGGCAGGAGCCAGTGCCGCCTGGGGCATCCGTGGGCGCCCCAAGGGCAGATCTGCACAGAGGCAGCCAGTCAGCTCACCAGGTCCCACCGGGGCCACAAGAACGTGCTGGGGAGGAAGCACTTAGTGTGATTTCATTACAGGTGACAGAGACCTGAACGCCCGCCTCAGGGGCTGAGGGCTCTGAGTGCACGCAGCCCCGGAGAGCCCAGAGGGCATCACCCCGCTGCCCCCGACCCCGCCCTGCCCAGTTACACCGGGACCATGGCCCCAACATGCAGGGCTCAGCCCGCGACCACAGATACACACGGCCCAGATGGGAAGCTGCCAGAACCCCAGGCCAACGGGACCCACAGGAGGGGATGTGTGGAGGCACCACGGCCGTGACAGGCCACCCACACCCAAAGCCGCGGACTGCCACCTTCTGGAACATACTGCCAAGACCCAGATCAATGGTCAGCAAACCACAGTCCACAAGCCACTTCTGCCCACCCCGGGTCCTGCAACCTGCGAGCCACGAGTTGTCACGTTTTAGAACAAGTGAAGAAGAATCAAAAGAATCAGAAGGATACCCTTCCGTGACACACGAAGCACCGAAAGCTCAACCATCACGGTCCGCAAATAAAGTCTGACGGAACACGGCCACGCCTGTCTGTTCAGGCGCATCGGGGGCTAGATCCACAGGCAACGGCGGGTGTGAGCAGTTACGACGAGACCCTGCAGCCCCCAGAGCCCAAACTATCTGCTGTCTGGGTTTTTCACAACGAGTTAGGCAAGCCAGAGAGAGGAGCACACATGCTTGTCCCCACGTCTGTCCTGGAAAGAAACAGCTGAGCAAATCCAGTCCACACCTCCAAGGGGCCCACGACGGTGTGTGACCGTCACCCAGAGCGCATGCCTCTCTGTCCCGTGCACGTCAGGCTACAAGCAAACACCTCCTCTGTCACGTCGGGCGCGCATGGGGCTCATGCAGCTGCCAGGCTCAGGCAAGTCCCTGCGTTTCTGGTGACTCCTGAGAGGCCGAACTCGAGCAGGACCGTCAGAACCACTGACTGCACCACTTGCTGAGGGGGTGGCCTTCCCCAGCGACTCAAAACCAAACAGCACGGGGGACGAAGCCTTCCAGAGGAGCTGCCGGCTAGGTCCGCTCAGCCAGTCGCCAGCAGGTGGAGGTGAGGGGGCCCGGTGCAAAGTCGCACAAACCCGCCCTGCATAGCGGACAGGAGGGCAGGGCCGTCCCCTTGCTGGGCCTGGGTCTGCCCTCCCCCCGGCCAGGGGCCCAGCTCCGCTCCCGTTCCTGGCACACGCAGCAGGCAGCGCACCTTCCTCGGAGCTCACGGGTTTGGGCAGATGATGCTGATCTCACCCCCGCCACGAGCTAGATACACTTCTGTTAATGTCGACATCTGGAAGGTCACGTGAAGTGAAGACTTCTCTCTCAGGGCACGTTTTCTAGAACGTCTCGGGAAGGGCTTGCATGTCCCCAGAATGGAGCAAGAGAGGAGCAAATAGTTTTCAAACTCCCGACGTGCTCCTGATAAATCCCGCTAACAGGACTTGTCTCGGGGCACCCAGGTGGCTCAGTCGGTGAAGCGTCTGCCTTCGGCTCGGGTCATGATCCCGGGATCCGGGGATCGAGTCCCGCATCGGGCTCCCTGCTTGGCGGGAAGCCTGCTTCTCCCTCTGCCACTCCCCTCCTCCTCGTGCACATGCACCATGCACACACACTCTCTCAAATAAATAAATAAAATCTTTAATTAAAAAAAAAAAAAAGACTTGTCCAGAGAGCCAAGCGTTGGGTAGGACCAGCACGTGTTTTGGAGATCTCTCTGCAGTGAGTCTGTCACCTGTGGTGCAGATATTATAAAGGATACTATAATCGACTTCATTAAAAAGTGAAGTCAATGACCAAAATGGGACACGTGGTTAAGGAGAGCTTCTCAAAGTCCGGCATGCCAGAATCTTCTGGGGGCCCCGGCAGGCAGCAGGTCGGGGTGAACGGGACCTGCATTTCTCACCTGATCCAGGTAGCTGGGCTGCTCCACCCCCACCCAGGGAATGCTGCTCAGAAAGCCCTGTGCACTGAGCTCCCGGAGGGGCATTCTCAAATCACCAGGCCAAGCCTGATGGAAAGCAGTTTGTTTTAACTGACAAGAACTGGTTTTAAAAAAAAAAAAAGCCTATCTTCTTTTGAAGTTTGCACCAAAACACAAATCTGGAAAGGAGATCCTTAATATAATGCGACCCTAAAAGGCCCCAGTGAACGTAATTTCGTAAGAAAACGAATGGGGGACCTGACTGTTTGCTGGAGAAGGTAATCAAGTCAGGTGTGAGAAGAAGCAAGAAAAGTGAGAAAGAAACAGCACATCCATTTGTGTGCACCTGCCAGGATTTGCTCAGAGCCGGGGGCCTGCCGCCCACCACGACCCAGGCCCGCCGCCTTCCTACAGACCGCACGCGAGCGAGTCTCAGAACCCCTAGGGGACAGTGGCTCAGACGGCCCAACGTAGCTCGAGGGGAAGGGTCTCTGCACCTCAACTCCACAAGGCAATGGATTTTCCTGCAGCTTTTGAATGTGCAAAGATCTGAAAAAGAGACATTTCAAGAAGGAAACGTCCACATGTTCATGATGTTCCAAGGGTCACAGGAACACGGTGTGTCACGTACAAAGTGAGGAGGGGCACCTTCCTTCTGGGAGCACCGTCCCTTCCCAAAGTGCCTCCCATAGGCTGCACCGCATGGCAGGTCTGCGTCCTTCATGGAGGGCCCAGGGGGGCTTCCCCGCTCGGGACAGCGGTGTTCCGTCGAGCCCTATTCTCCACCCATCAGACCCGAGGACTGGGAAGTGCAGGAAGGCAGCGAGAAACCAGAGGAGTGAGAGGAAAGCTCCCAGGAGGTCGGAGGTCAGATGCAGCCAGGACGGAGGTGCGCCCTCCCCCCGGCCAGCGTTGGCCACCCTGCTGGGCGCGGCCAGCTCCCATCCCCCTTGAGCGGCTGGCTGGGCGAGGACCACGCGTTCGCAGCAAACAGCATTCCGCCCCCAGGCTCAGATGGATCAACTATAGCAGGACTCAGACAGCCCCCCACGTCCTCGGCCGCTCCTTCTCAAAAGGGCTTTCCGAAAAAAACCAAACCGTGTAAAGATAAAATGGTTCACTATCGTCCATGCCTTTCGTTCGTTTCAAAATGTCCAGCTATGCGTTCATCGACCCGAGGCCTGCAAATTCTAGAGCCAAACTCCGGGAGAGTGAGGACAAACACCGGCAGATCCGGACCTGGGTGTGAAAGGCGGTCCCCGCGGGGCCCCGAGCACGGGGCACACTCACCCTGCAGTGGATGACCACCACGTGCTGGGGGTCGCTGTTCAGCCAGGACTCCTGCGCCTTGCAGATGGTGCACACCTGGTCCAGGGGCGGTGCATGCAGTTCCGGCCAGCCCACATCCAGGATCTGCAAGGAGAGACGGGCTCTCTACCAAAACCCTGCCGCGAGTTCCTTTCCTAAAGCCTGCTGGGAGTTGTGGCCAGGAGCCTTTACTGGGAAGGAACACAGGGCGGATTATGTTGCCCCCGTGAGACGGCCGTCCCCATCTTATCTGCTCTCCAGCAGCCGGGACGGCTATTCTAGAAAGGGCTTGCAGAGCCGCTAATGGGGCATGGCTCGTGGGGAGGGCCGAGGCCGGGCCAGATCTGAAACGGGAGTTCTTGGCCGGAGCTGCTGCCAAAATTCCTCTGTGCAGACTGAAATCGCAGTCTGGGAAAATGCAGGGAGCTGTTCCCCACACACCGCGCGGATGATGTCTCAGAGAGCGGCCCGTCCCACGTGCTTGAAGAAAACATGCCCCTCTCAGGACTGGAGCGTGCCCACGAGGGAGGAAGCACCGTGAGCCCGGGTTACAGTTCGGAGCAGGAACAGAGACGGTCCTCACCGCATGACGCGGAACACAGCGTGTCCTTGCATGGGAAACAGCCTCCCCGAGCAACCTGACACCCTCCACCACCCCCCAGCGATGCAAAATACGTCCTATTCCACCTTCCTTTTCTTAAGGGGAGAGGTCTCTTCTATAAAAGTAACAGAAATAGTACAAAATGATGGGAAAATTTCATAAAAATGCCAGGAAGCTGGAAAATATCGCATACCCCTTCCACCACATAGGGGTAACAGCTACAACACCCGTGAATCCCTTAGATTTTTTTCTATGTGTCGAGCAGAGCTGAGATGCTATTATCCAGGACCTCTATATCCTACTTTTGTTACCTAGCATTAAAATAGGCAATTCACCGGGCGCCTGGGTGGCTCAGTTGGTTAAGCGACTGCCTTCGGCTCAGGTCATGATCCTGGAGTCCCGGCATCGAGTCCCGCATCGGGCTCCCTGCTCAGCAGGGAGTCTGCTTCTCCCTCTGAGCCTCCCCCCTCTCATGTGCTCTCTCTCATTCTCTCTCTCTCAAATAAATAAAATCTTAAAAAAAAAAAAATAGGCAATTCATCAATGCACCGTATATTCTCATTCCAATAGGTTCAGAATATTCCGACATATGGAATACATATACGACATACACCCTAACTCACATGTATACACAAGCTTAAAGACTTCCCCTAAATCTTTGCTACGAAAAAGATGAACGCATGGAGGGGGGAGTATGTGAAAGCAGCAGGAGGGAGACCCTGGAGGTAGAAACGGTCTGTGGATCCCACCAACGTCAGCTTCTGGCACTAACACTTTATTACTAGTTAATGCGTGGTGTTACCACTGGAGAAGACTGGGTCTGGGGCTACGTGGGATCGCTCTGTATAATTCTGCAACGTTCTGTAAATCTATAATTATTTCAAACTAAAGAAATTAATTTGGGAGCGCCTGGGTGGCTCAGTCGTTAAGCGTCTGCCTTCGGCTCAGGTCATGATCCCGGGGTCCTGGGATCGAGCCCCACATCGGGCTCCCTGCTCAGCGGGAAGCCTGCTTCTCCCTCTCCTGCTCCCCCTGCTTGTGTTCCCTCTCTCGCTGTCTCTCTGTCAAATAAATAAAATCTTTAAAAAAAATTAAAAAAGAAAGAAATTAATTTAAAAATGACCCAAGGGGGCACCTGACTGACTGGCTCAGTCAGCAGAGCATGCGACTCTTGATCTCGGGGTGGTGAGTTCGAGCCCCATGATGGGTGCAGAGATTCCTTAACAATAAAAAATCTTAAAAAAAAAACCCCAAAAAACCCACAGGTAAGAACAGTTCCTGATACCCCTTACGAGGTCACATCCCACAGAGACTTGAACTGTTTTTGCACGAGCAGATATGCTTCGGGGACATCTGACGGAACTCAGAACATAAAGGGTTAAGGTCGTACCTTTGGGTTAAGCTTCGTAAGGTCATATCTCTTTTCGGAAAGGTTTAACACCTGTGAAGGGGAAAGAAAAAGCCATCAGACAAGTCCGCGTCCTCGAAGGGCAAAGAGGAAACAGCGTTCACACTTCACACGCTGTGTGCCTTCCAGGGACTAAGGATTGTAAAAGATTGAAACATATATAGGAACGTTATTGTCATGGAATGAAACACAAATAGAACAAATACATAGGGATGGCGGACGGAATTGTGCGGGACCGGCCGCCCCGGAGAAGCCCGGTTGCTGGGGCGGGGCGCGACGGAGGCAGCGAGGGCCAGAGCCGGCGGGGACCCCACCATGCTGCAGCAGGCCTGGGAGAGGAGATCAGGTGCCCTCACGGCAGAGACAGCTGAGCGCGGGGGCCTGGGCAGGTCTGCTTGGGGCGCGCGGCTCTGCCCTGACCTAGGTCCACAGCCCCTCTAACTGGACCAAGCTGCTGCACTGTCCCATTTAAGGACCAGGCCCCTGCCTTCCGGGGCCCAGGGCCCTCCCGGGTATCTGGGGACAGTGAACAGAGGGCAGACGGAGGGCAGGCGCAGGGACCAGGAGAGAGCTGACCCCTGGGCCAGGATTCCGGAGGAGGGGGACCGTTCCTGCAGAGCAGACTGCCCCGGGCAGAAGGCTGCCGTCCTGAAGATGTGGGGCCCCCAGAGCAGAAGTCTGGGTTCTGGGCTGGGACACGCTTTCCCTGCCTGCCATCAGGTCACGCTGAGGACTGCCATCCGGGGAACAGGCAGGTGCTCAGGGGCCAGGACAGCGCTGCTCGGGCCGCACTGACCGCTCAGGCCGACACAGGCTGCTGGGGGGCGGGGTGCCCTCGGCTCCGCTCTGCCTCTGGGCCGCTCTTGGAGACAGTCATGTAGTCACCCAAAAGGGTGGCAACCTCAGTTTGTCAGGCGGGACAGAGATCAGCAGCTTCAGCAGGTAAGGAGGCCGTGTGGGGGCGGGGGCAGGTGCAGACGAAGCACGGGGACTGCACTTCAGTGCTGTGGTCACACCGGGCAGCCAGGGGACGCACGGGACGCTGGCCCACACTTCTCTCCAGACGGAGGCTCCCTCCGACCACGTCACACACGTCCCCAGGACACAGCGGCTTCCAGGCGCCCACCGTCGGTCCTCGTGGTTCAGGTCAGCAGGAGGGAAAGGCTGGGCTCTGACACCAGGATGCCGACCCCCACCGGGGCCGACAGGTCTGTCTGATGCCGCACGCCGGCCACACCAGGGGGGCTGCCCACCCGCAGGGCGCCCGGGGCGGCGGCCACAGGCACAGCAGGCGGCACGGCGGACAAGAGGCCCGGGGGAGGAGCCCCAGAGCACCTCCGTGAAACCGGGGGCCCAGAAGACCAGATGCACAGAGGCAGGGGACCACGACCCCCACAGGCTCAGCAGCCACCCCGAGACACTCAGTGACTGCTTCCCATTTCAGCAACTCAGTGTCGTCCCAGTTACAGCGCTCCGTGTCCGCCACTGTCCCCGTGCTCCGCGTCTCCCCCCACTCTCCCGGTGCTCACTGTCCCCCCTCACTGTCCCTGTGCTTGGCGTCCCTTCACTGTCCCCACGCTCAGCGTCCCCCCACTCTCCCCACGCTTGATGTCCCCTCCCACTCTCCCCGCACTCGGCGTCCGCCCCCCACTCTCCCCACTCTCCCCACGGTGTCCCCCCTCACTGTCCCCGTGCTCGGCATCCTACCCCCACTCTCCCGGTGCTCACTGTCCCCCCCCACTGTCCCTGTGGCTTGGCGTCCCTTCATTGTCCCCACGCTCAGCGTCCCCCCACTCTCCCCACACTTGATGTCCCCCCCCACTCTTCCCACTCTCCCCACGGTGTCCCCCCTCACTGTCTCCACGCTCGGCATCCTCCCCCCACTCTCCCCATGCTCAGTGTGCCCCCCCCACTGTCCCTGTGCTTGGCGTCCCTTCACTGTCCCCACGTTCAGCGTCCCCCCACTCTCCCCACGCTTGATGTCCCCCCCCACTCTCCCCGCACTCGGCGTCCGCCCCCCACTCTCCCCACTCTCCCCACAGTGTCCCCCCTCACTGTCCCCGCGCTCGGCATCCTACCCCCACTCTCCCCGTGCTCACTGTCCCCCCCCACTATCCCTGTGCTTGGTGTCCCTTCACTGTCCCCACGCTCAGCGTCCCCCCACTCTCCCCACGCTTGATGTCCCCCCCCACTCTCCCCGCACTCGGCGTCCGCCCCCCACTCTCCCCACGGTGTCCCCCCTCACTGTCCCCGCGCTCGGCATCCTCCCCCCACTCTCCCCGTGCTCGGTGTGCCCCCCCACACTGTCCCTGTGCTTGGCGTCCCTTCACTGTCCCCACCTCAGCGTGCCCCCCATACTCCCTGTGCTCAGTGTCTCCCCCCACTGTCCCCGTGCTTGGCGTCCCTCATTGTCCTCACAGTCGGTGTCCCCCCGCCGTCCCCACCCTCCACTCCTGCTCAGTGCCCCCCCCCCACTCACCAGGTAGTTGTCCCCGTGTTTGGACCTCAGCATCCGCGTCACCTCCTGCAGGTTGTGCAGGTAGGACTCTTCGGAGCAGCCGGTGGGGAAGGACACCGCGATGATGCGCTCAGTGATGTAGGTGAGGTCCAGCTCGCGCCCGTCTTCCATGGTGGGGCTCAGCACCGCGGGCCTAGGAGAGGGGGCCGGTCAGGAGCGGGGTGGGTCCCCGGAGTGGCGGACGCCAAGGCGCCCGCCCGCGCTGCTCACACAGGAGCCTCTGTAGTCTCTTCCACGTGGTCTCCGGTCACGGGAGCATACAAGCCCAAACGCCCTGCCCGGTCCTGTCTGCGGCACCACCAGCCACCCCAGCACATACATGGGGGGAGAAGCACACTGTTCCGCTGCAGAGGGAGCCCCTCGGGAGGGACCCTGGGGGGAGGAGCCTGGTCCTCCCTCCTGGGGTCGGGTCGGCGCCAGGTGGGGGGGAGCGTAAGGCAGGGGATGGGGAGAACAGAGGCCACCGCTAGGTCTTCGTGTCCCATCCTGGGGCAGCTGTGGAGGCCGCGGAGGGGACCCCCTGGGAAGGGATGTCAGCAGCTGCAAAGACAGGGTGCCTCCCCTGGGAAGGAGAGGCGGCCGGGTCAACAAGCAGGGCTGTGTGCGGGCTCTCTGCTGAGGACACCTGGGGGGGTGGGGGCAGCGGGTGGGAGGGCAGGGGTGCGGACGGAGGCAGGAGGACCGAGCTCTGGACTGCCAAGTTCACTGGGCCTGCAGAGGGGAGGGCCTGCCCACGGGCCCCAGCTGCACCTGCATCACTAGGACGTGCTTGGGGACTGTGGCCGAGAGCCTTGCCCCTTCCACCCCTTCCTTCTCCAGGAGGACAGGCCCTCAGGGCTGAGGGTGTTTGGGACGAGGTGTTGGGTCAATCCCAACGGGGTGACACCCCACGGCGAAACAATGGAGGGATGCAGGACACACGCAGGATGCTGGTTTGGGTCCATGACTGTCACTGCCATGAGCTCTGGGGGTTTGTGACTGTTGTCTGTTTATTTACTGCCCCTTTTCTATGTGTTTCTCTCCTGATTTTGGAAAAATTCAAAAACATAGAAAACAACTTTGCAAACCGCTACGTACCCATCATCCGACTTCAAAATTAGCCCCCATGCCCCCCACACCCTGCTACCTCCACCATCACCCTGCTTCGAAGAAATCCCAGACATTCTATCACTTCATTTATAAATACGTTAGTATTTCTTTCTAGAAGATAGAAGCTTTTTAGGAATACCTACAAGGTCGTTATCATACCTAAAAGAAGAAACATCAATCAGATCCAAGATCATAAACTTAATTTTTAAAGCTGATTTATTCAAATCAGGATGCAAACAATCACCAAGATTTTGTTTTGTCTACCTTATGCGCTACAGAGGGACGCAAAAGAGTTTTGATTACTTTTAAAAAATAATCAGGTTTTTTAAACATTGATTTAAAAAGTCACAATGCGTGTTCTCCACCAACCGCAGCTCCTGAGGGACCGCCCCGCGGGGAGTGCTAGATGTGGCCGTCCCAGCAAGCACCTGCCGCGGCGCAGGCAGACAGAGCTCAGTGCACCTGCTGGGTTCAACCCTGCAACACCCCCAACGTTCACTTGCACAATTATGCCACAGCTGTGCGTGGAAAGAATCGCTTTCCCACAATCTGGGCTTTAATGCTGGGAGGCTGCACCCAGAAAAAGAAAATAAATAAAAACTTGATATGTACCGCCTTTGAACATTTATTCCTAAAGTCAAAAAAAAAAAAAAAAAAAACTTAAGATGACTACGGAATAAAGTAACACCAAGCTGACCCCGGGCAAGGACACACAGACGAGCCATGCACGGGGCTGGCCACTCACCTGGGTGGTCTGGCACGGCAGAGAGCAGTGGACGGTGCAGAACCCCCCGGAGCCTGCAAATGACAAAGCATGGGTCATTCTTGGTCCCCCTGTCCCCAGCCTGCAGCCCGCCAAGAAGAAAGGACACCGCCCGTCCCAGTTTAAGGTGGGAAGTCAAACGCGGTGACCGTGGGTTCATCCTAAGGCCAGGGAGGGTCTCCGGCATGTCAGGGCATCTCGGCCTGGGGATTGCGGGCCCCCAGCCACACGCTCCCAGAACAGCCCGAAGGACAGGATCCATGGTGGGATGGACCCACAGGGACGGACCTGTCCCTGTATATAGGCAGCGCTCGACCAAGGTCACGGTTACCATTAATTTTACCGCTAGTATATACTTGAAAAAAAAACGACTAACCACTGTGTCTATGGTTTAAGAAGCCCATCGAACAGGGAAAAGCTCCAGCTTGCTTTACAATTTCCACGACACTTCCGTGTGCGTGTGTGTTAATGCGATACCCGAAGGCTGCGTATGTATGACTTTGGGACACATGTCCAGCCACTACGTGAGTAAAAATCACTTCCCCATTCCAGCAGCGGGGAAACCAAGGCTCAAGAGGTGTGCAAGGCTTTGCCCAAGACGGCAGAGGTGGGGAGAGCCCTTCCCACAACAGGGCGGCTCCTCTCTGGGGCCTGCCATGTGTCCTGGCCCTGTTCTGTGGACCAGCCAGGGCGCAACCCCCCCCCCAGAAGGGGGGTGATGCTGGAAACGTGCATGGCAGGACGCCCAGATTCCCCAGCCCTCCCTCCTGCTTCCCGCCAATCCCGGGCCTGGGGAACCCTTCACAGGCTCGGACACCCCACTTCACCAGCACCCCACTGGGCACCCAGTTCATCCTGGCTACTTCGGGAATGGAGACGGACACTCCCCAGAAGTCACACCAACACCATGCCTAAGCCAACTGCAAACCAGAGGCCGTGATCTGGGCCCCCAGGCAGAGACAGGACCTGGAGGGCGCCCTCCTCCATGCACAGAATGCCTAGAGTTTGCCCGTTGGCTGTCCCTGGTGGACACATGCCTCTCCTACATGTCCCCTTACAGACGAGTCTGGGGGCTGACTGAGCCCGCTCCCTTGGTGCCAGGACCCCAAGCAGCACAGGACAGCGGCCCCCAGGAGGTCAGGGAGGCTGGGCACACTCTCCCTGAACCAGCCCTGAGGGGTCCCAGCAGGCCCCCAAGAATCCCCACCCGCATCGTTTGGCATGGATGGATGGCAGACGGATCCATGACAGACAGATGATAGGCACATAGACACATAGATACGTGCGTGAAAGGCAGACCGCTGAACACACACATGCGCACACGCACACGCGCACACATGCAGACACAAGCACACATGCGCACACGCATACACACATGCGCACACGCATGCACACATGCATGCACAGACATGCACGTATACACGCATGCACACATGCATGCACACGCGCGCACACATGCACATATGCACATGTGCACGTGCACATGCATACACACGTGCACACATGTGCACACATGCACGCATATACATACACATGCACATACATGCAGACACGTGCACACATACACGCATGCACACATGCACACACACATGCACATAGACACACACACAGCGAGATGGGAAGGCCGGGCCTGCCCACCCTCCCATGGCTCCTCACGCCTACCTGCAGCCACTGCACTGTGCCCTACGTCAATTTAGACCAAACGGATGTGCACAGACCGAGAACCACCAGACACGGGCCACGCACGCAAGTGTGTGGATAAAGCACAGATACCTTCCCAACCCCCCCCATCACCCGAGGGGATGACGGGCCTGAACCACCACTCACCGCCCACACCCCCCAGCCCTCGGGTGATAGCTGCAGCTCAGCGTGGAGGGGCCGGGGGTCCCCGCAGGGAGGGGGTCACCTGAAGGGAGTGTGTCTTGGGCAGAGCACAACCGGTGCCCGAACCCTGAAGTGGCATCATTCTGTACCTTGGGGACAGCGAGGGGACGGGTGTGGCCCACAGGTGATGCAGGGGAAGTGACGGGGGTCCCAAGGACAGAGGTCAGCCGGCCCTAGACCCCGGTCCACCATTCCACCAGCACGGTGTCCCCTGGGGGCTGACTGAGGTCAGCAAGCACAGCCCCACCCGCCAGGATACCTGGCTTCCAACAGGAACCCCAGGAAAGCAGACGGGACCATCCTCGCTGCACAGCCTGGGAAAAAGGCGTTCGGGAAGACGGTGTTGTAGCAACTTCTCATGCCAAACTCGAGACTTCTTCAATCCCCCGGCCCTGGTGGCCCACAGCCCGTGCTGCCGACCTGTCCCCGAGCCAGACCAACATCAAGGAGGTCGGGAGAGCCTCTCCTGGAGAGCTGGTCCTGTGGAGCAGCCAGGCTCTGAGACTCGGGGTGCACCACCACCCCCCAATGGGGGGAAACCTAGCCAAGCAGACGACGCACCAGTGACCGGACCCGGGGACGCTGGGATACACTGGGACAGCAGCCCCTTGGCTGCCGGGAAGGTCCGCCGTGCAGCGGACGGGAGGCATGCCCAACCAACGTGACGGGGCACAACTTGCCCGCACACGGCGCTGGTCAGAGGGGGACACGGGGCTCCCTGTCTCTGTGCATCTTCACTCAAAAGCGAAGAATCTACCTGCTCTCGGGGCTCAAAAGCCAGGCCCCCGTTTATACACCACAGCACAGTTCGTGGCTTAGGAACAACCCAGAAACCAACTTAGTAAAAGTCTACTGAAGAAGGTCCCTTGCTCACCAGAACCCTACACCCTAACCACGTTCGGGAAGTTTAAGAAAAGCTCTCTTGCGTGAAGACCCCAGGCCTCCCGAGCTGCACGTTTCTCTTGTGTGCTTTTGCAAGAGGAGAGCGGCCCGCCCACCTCCCTCGGGAGCCTTCCAAGGACACGCCAATCTTTACAGACCGACACCACGTCTGGAGAGATAGCAGGTGTTTCCTGCACTCCCATCTGGTCCCCACCTGCCTCGGCCCGGCCCAGCCCCCTCCACCCCCGGCCGCTTTGGCACGCGCTTATCGCAGCCTGCAACTTCTAAAGGCACCACGAACCCCGAGAGCAAGGGGGTGCCAGTGGAATCTGTGGCAAAGGTTACACCTGCAACAGGTAAACCGCAAAGCCCATGCTGCCGCATCTCGGCAATGGCCCGGGAGCTCCCCCGCTGGACCCCAAAGCGGTCCTGGGCCCCCAGTGAAGTCACTGGCCTCCCTAGCCATCTGGGGCCAGCCCTGCCATCCGGGACACACCGGCAAGCAGCAAAGCAGGCGTTCCACCAGGTAAGCAGTCATTCCATCGGCCCGGAGGGGCTGTCTTGCTCAACACGCTTTTGCAATTATCGACCCTCATTTCTTTGGCTAATGATGTGACTTTTATGTAAGAAACAGGCACAGCGAAAGCAATTTTGCAGCCGTGGGACATCTTTCGGAAGGGGACGGGGACCACCGTGAGATCTGCATGTAGACACAAGTGTCTTCTATTAAGAGAGGCCCACTGAGCCCGGTGCTCGCTTCCGAGTCGGTTTCCCCCGGGGGCAGAAGGCAGGGCTGGATGCCTTTTCTCGGGTGGAGCTGGTCCAGGCTTTGTCAAGGGACGAGGCTCCTCCGGCAACACGGGCTCGGCCACTTTGCACCCTATGATCGTGGGCAGGTCCTTCACCTGCCCCAGCTTCAGCCACACTCCTTGTCTTCCCAGAACAGGAACCCCAGTCCCTACCTCACCTGGGGGTGAGGGACCACGCAAGGCTGGCAGGAAACACCTGGCCCGTCCTCCAGAACCCCACCCTCCTCCAGAACCCCACCCCCAGTGCCCCATCCTACAGAATCCCACACCCTGCAGTACCATGGCTTTGCAGCTCATAACCTGGCCCCTCTCTAAGAGGACAGGCCCACGGAGAGAAGGCTGGGGAGCTGTGGGACTGATCGCTGATCTTGTCTGGGACCCCTTTCCCCTCTCTGTGGGCACCGCTGGGTCTGTAGCTAAGGGACGCCCAAAGTCAGGCCGTGTGGGCACAAGACGAATGCTCCGAAGCCCTCACTGTAAGATTCAAGGCCTGCGTCTCAGGGAAGAACGCACAGGGCACTGGGGTCGGGGCACCGCATTCCCACCTAACAGGACTGCTGTCCAGGCCAAAAGACGCGACGGACGTGTGGATCTCCCCATCTCGTATCTCAGCGGCAGCTGATGCTCTCCCATGGGCTTCCGGGAAAAGGGACACTGGACAAACATCTGCACCCATGCCTCGTGGCTAGCAGAGCACGAGGACCACCCGGCTGGCTTACAGAAGGACCGGGCTCGGGGGGCAGGGGTGGGGAGGGCGGTGAGGACAAGCCCTGGACAGGAAGGCGGAGGGAGGACACTGACAGCAAGCCCCCATCACACGGGGAGTAGAACCACACCACGCCCCTCTGGGGGCTGTGACCGCAGGGCCACACGGGGATGGCCAGTCCTGCAAGGGAAGGAAGGCCTGTCTCTAGGTGTCCGTGTGAGGACTCTGAAGGCTCCGGCTGTGTGACCTTGGGCAGGTGCCTCGGGCTCCTCATCTGTAAAATGGGCTACTAGGTACAGCCAGCCCTCTGCAGGGGCGCTGTGGGACCAGAGCAGGGTGGGCGAGGAGCAACACATCGTTAGCATCTGCGATTCCTGCGTGTTCTCGCGCAAACCAGGAGGACGGAGCAGACCTGCCTAAGGAGACTCACGCAGTGGCAGTGTCCCCATGTGGGCTGGCGTGGGCACCAGTCCTGCATGTGGACGGGAGCTAATGCTGGCGCCGTGCCCCCACATCCCACCGCTGTGGGCAAAGGGCAGCCTCTCTCTCTCCACTCCTGTCCCACAACCCTCCTTCCAGTCCCCCAAGCACACTCCACCCCTCCTGCCCCAGGACCTTTGCACATGCCCTACAGGTCTGGAATGCTCCCCACCCACTTAGGCAAGCCTCACCTGCTTAGCCCCTATTAATCCTAGACCTCTCAGCTCACACATCGCCTCCCCAGCGAAGCAGCCCCTGATCCCTGGTCCTGTTT